ATCGTGAGTTTAAGCGAGTCTAGATCTGCTATCAAAAAAGATTTTTTAAGACAACTTATTCTTCAACAAACTGTATTTTGGATAGTTCAAGTCAATTAAATTGATTATTTCTATAATCATTTTTTTATTATGGCAGACATTGTTGATAACAGTCCTGCCCTTGGGCTCCATTTCACTGCCCCCTTCTTTTATATGTAGATGGGAAATTCTTATTCTATGTTGTTTTAGGTCATATTTGTTTTAGCTTACAAGACTTTGGTATTAAATTGATAATTTGGGAAAAAATCATAATTCAATGTTAGACTAAGAAAATTAGGGTTTAGAATAATAGTTTATCACGACATTATGTGAGTGTTTGTTTGTTTTTTTAAGTTTCTTTTTGTTGGCATAGGACATTATGTGAGTAACAATTTTAACCCAAGAAGAGGAGGCCAAACCTAGGCTGAGGGGGCAGGCCGAGCCAGGCTAGATAGTCAAACTCGGCGACAATATCAATTGACACGTCACTATCATCATACGATTTTATTTATTTATTTATTTATTTTGAACGCAACCATACGATTTTCCAAACAAATAAAAACCTCAAAATTTTATTCCGATGTACCGCAAAAAAAGAAAGAAAAAAAAAAAAAAAAAAAAAAAAAAACCCTCAAAAACGACAAAATAAGGCTTGGGAAATTGGTAGTAGACTATTTTAATTTTTGACTATTTGAGAAGATAGGTTGAATTTTTTGTAATTGAATGTGATGTTTATAAAAAAAACAAAGACGAATTGATTATGAATTTAATATGATATTTTATTTTATTAACTATTTTAATCTATTTTATCGTTTTATGATTTTTATGACTTTTAGCCAAAACAATCCCCCAAACCCAACTTGCCAAACACCGCCTAAATGATACAACCATGATGAGTATTTTGCTTTGAAAAAAAAAAAAAATCAAATACAAAAAAATTATTCTAAGAACTCTTTGAAAAATTAAAATTATAAAGAAAATAATTTACAAATAGAATTTTAATAATAAGGGTCCAATGGAAGGGTTTTAGCTAAATTTCCCCAATATACTCAAATACACAAATACACAAAAAAAAAAGTCTCAAATACAAAAAAAATATATATATATATATTTTAAGAACTCTTTGAAAGATTAAAATAATAAAGAAAATAATTTACAAACAGAATTTTAATACATAAAATTTATACTGAATGACACAATACAACCATGATGAGTATTTTTCTTTGAAATAAAAGAGTCAGGCAAGACCACATTATTTTGTATAATTTTTTTTTTTTTTTTATGAAAATTATGTTTACACAGCATTAGTCAAAACCATAATTGTCTGAACATTGTATGCCATGAAAGTCCAAAGAAATCTGTAAATCTATGAACACAACCATAAATCAATTGTTGTCAGGAAGATAGAGAGGCAAGAGGCAGAGAGAGGATGGAGCTTGAACACTTCAGCCATGACCATCCGCTAATCCTCAAAACAGAGCACATGTATGATGATGATGGTGTTGTGAAAATTTCTTGCTACGCGTGTGAGCAACTAATAATCTTCGGTCAATCCTACTACGGTTGCAATCGTTGTTGGTTTTTCCTGCACAAATCATGTACAGAACTACCCAAGAAAATTACACATCCTTCTCATCTTGAACACCCCCTTACTCTCTTTTTAAACCCAGCTTATAATTACTCAAGAAGCATTTGTGATGTCTGTAGAGTTACCTGCAACAGATTCATTTACCGTTGTTCCCCATGCGACTTCGATGTTGACTTGAAGTGTGCTTCCGTGGTGTATAGTATTCAACAGAGGATTGAGCACAAAAGTCATACACAACACCAGTTGATCTCTCTTCAAAAGCCAGCCATGTTCTTTTGTGATGCTTGCGGTACAAAACATGAAGGCACCTCCTATCTTTGCACCACCTGTGGGTTCTGGGTCAACCAGAATTGTGCTGATTCATTGCCTAGCACCATTAAACACAATAATAACCCTCACCCTCACCCTCTCACCCTCATCTATTCTATTCCATTTGAATATTACAAAACTTGGCCGATCTGTGCAATCTGTAACAAGCGAGTGTACAGAAGAAATTGGGTTTATTATTGTTCCGACTCTGAATGTTCCGACTCTGAATCCAAATATTTTGTCCATGTAAATTGTGCAACGTCAGAGACAGAACGTTACATGTTGACCCTTTTTCCTTGCCTCTCATTTTCTTTCATAATCCTCTTAAATGGTTCTTCTTTTTTTATTTTATTTTTTATAATTATGTTTCATCCTTGATTATGTGGTTTCAGAGAATGCAAATCAGAGTTTAATCTTGTTGATTCGCAGATAACAGCACCAAATACCAAACTATCCAGGTTGACCTTCTTTTTCCCCTGGAACTTTTCTTTTTATTGTCTCATCAGTTCTTTCCTTATTATTTGATTACATTCAATTATTTTGGATAAATTACACTCACCTCCCATGAGGTTTCTGACAATTACAGGAACATCTCCTATAGTTTTAACAATTACAGAAACCATCCTTATTTTTTAACCTATTGTTAAGATTCCTCCACCATTAATCTTCTGTTAATTTATTTAACAGAATATGATGACGTCATGCTGATGTCATTTACTATGAGTAAAACATTTTAAGATTGCCCTTATATATATTCAAATAGTACATTTCACTCACCTCCCTTGAGGTTTTACAAAAAATTAATAAAGACTCATACATTATTTTAATAATATTAAACAAAATTATTAAATTATGTACAATATTTTAAAAAATTCTAAATTGTCAAGACAAGCATATATATAGTAGAATAACCAAACATTACCTTATCTTAAAAAAATAAAAATAAAAATACAAGAGCTAATAAATTGATCACCATTAAACCTTATACTAGATTAAATACAATCATTTATTTGAAAATTATGAAGCAAAGTATAAAAGATGTTTTATTTTTTAAAAAGACCACCAATTTTATAATAATTATTTTGAGAAATTAGAGTTTGAATAAAAAATTTAATACATATATATATATATAGGTATTTGATTTTTTTTTCGTATGAAAAATATATATTTGGAGAAATTATTCCTCTCTTTCCATTTTCTTTATTTTATTTTTTTCATTTTTCTTTCGATTTATTTTCTCATTCATTTTTTCATAGTATCACTGCAGCAAATAGCAACACCATATAATTTATTATTATAATTATTATTATTATTATTTGTTCTCTTCTCTATGTTTTTTTCTCAATTTTTTTTCATTATTTTTTTTTTCTCTTTCATCAATGTTAGCTAACAGCACCTAATACCATAGCAGCTTACGAAATATAATTTTTTCTTTTGTTTTGTAAACATATTTGTGTATTAATTTTTTAAAAGAAAAATAAACATAATAACATTTCATATTTATAATAAAAAATTGATTTATAAAAATTACCAAATGTTGCCTCATAAATATATATATATATATATATATAAATTATCATTTTATCTTTTCACAATCTTATATTATTCTGAAATTTTAATTATCATTAAAAAAAAGTAACTACTTCTCACCTTAATAATAAAATTTTTAAAAATAAATATAAAAGTGAAACAATATCTAATCACGTAACAATAAATTAAAATTAGATGATAGGAATTGAAAGATAAATAAATTATTTGAGAATAATAAACCACTTAAATTTGTCATTTCTTACATCTAATTAAAATAGAATTTTACTTGAAGAAATAAATTATTTGAAAATAATAAAATTCTCAAATAATTCGTTATTTATTACATCTAAAATCTATATCTCCATCTTTGGTTCTTTCATTTAAATTATTTTTATTAAATTAAATCTCAAAATTAATTCAAATAAGAAACATGGATATTCTTTCTTAATTTCATTAATGGTTGATTTTATTTTTTTTAAATTTTTTTTAAGTTATAAAAGTTCAAAACTGTTATTTTTAAAGTTATAAAAAAAAATACAAAGTCCAGGAAATACAAAAAAAAAAAAAAAAATTGTAAGAAGTAAAATGATAATTTAATCAATCATGATTTAGAGCTCCACTGACGTGACAGGAAGCAAAAATTAAAAAGGATACATGCATTACATCATCAGTGGGCCTCACACACTGCCATCTCATTAGAGCTATGATTCGAGCTCTCTAATTAGAGCTCTAGAACATTTTCCTAATTTAATATAGGGACATTTACACATAAGTCTTAATTTATGAACTTATACTCCATGGAGTCTTAACTAAGATTTTTTAGACCTTTAAGTCCCATTAAAATTTTAGTAGTTGGAATTACCCTTCAAACAATGATTATTCATCATTTATAATTATCTATAGAGGAACATGATAATTTGATATTTATTTTGATTTTCAAAATTTTAAAATATCAACTTTTAAATTGAAAAAATTAAAAAAGAAATTATGTGCCAAAATAAATTATGGTTTTTTTTGAAAAAATTGAATTATTTTTTTGTGCAAAACTGAAAATTTTGCCTATAAAGGAGCATGATGATAGAACATTGATGTGCAAAACTCAAAAAAAAAATGATAATGTTCTCAGTTTTAAAATTGGAGAAACACTGTAATATTCTTGATTTTATTGGATAGCTGAATCAAATCAAGCCAATAAGTAGAAGGGAAAAAACGTTTAATCTATTGCTCTCTTTTTTTTTCATCAGTTAGTGAAAAAATTATCTATACAAAATTGATAATGTTCTTTAGTTTTAAATTTTAAAAAAAAAAAAATTTACTAAATAGGACTTATTGGTTCAAAATTTTTTAAATAAAACCTAAACAATCATAATATTTGTAAATAGGACTTTTAAGTAATTAACTATTTAATATATATGTAAATTACAATTAAACGGTATTAAGTGTAAAGGGTATTATTATGGTCATTTGCACAACCAAGTTAACACCGTTTGGCTTAAATTAACAGGAGGGAAGAATTTTGATAATGTCAAAAAAGTAAGAGAAATTTCTGTAATTATTGAAATTACAGGGGAGTCCCTGTAATTGTCAAAAACCTCTGGGGAGGTGAGTGTAATTTACCCTATTATTTTTCATTTTGTGGTTTCAGGGAGTGCAAAGCAGATACTAAAGCTGAAATCTTTGACCCTAATTTGATCAATTTGCCAGTGCCCAATGAATTTGTTGATCTGATGACCCAATTTATCAAGGGCATTAGACTACAAGGGAAGTATGAAGGGGCGACAAAGATCCAACATGTTAGTCATGGCCACCCTTTAAACTTTTTCGACAAACAACTTGACAGTGAGTCGTGCTCTACTGGGAGGAAATTGTCCCTCTTGAATGAGGTGATGAAGAATGATGAAAAATGCAATGGGTGTGCACAAACCATTTCTGCTCCATTTTTTTATTGTGCTGAATGTAACTTCTTTCTCCATGAGTGGTGTGCAGAGTTACCCATTGAACTGCGACACCCTTGTCACCCAGAGCATCCACTTCTCTTGACCCCAAATTTCTATCTAGATGAATGTATATGCTGCAGATCAGATAGCAAAACGTTTATTTTCGGCTGTACTACCTGCGACTTCTTCATCGATTGTAAGTGTGCATCCCTACCACGCATTATCAGACACAAAGCACACAAGCACACCCTCGCTATAAGGCGAACATGGTCTGCTAGATGCGGTGGCTGCAATGATGTTTATCATCGATTTGCATTTGTATGTGACCCTTGCAATCTGAATATTTGTGTTGGGTGTGCTCTTTTGCCGGGTACGGTTAGTCACAGGTACGATAAACACCCATTCACCCTGACCTATTCCCCTCCTCCTCTCAAAGACCCGATCGTGGATGAGGAGTACTATTGTGAGATTTGTGAGGGGGAAATAAATCCAAAATTATGGTTCTATCATTGTGTCATTTGTGATCAATCTCTTCATACACTCTGCAGCCGTCCTATTGATTGGAATCCAAATGTCAAGTATGGGGTGACCATTAAATTCCATCACCATCATCACCCACACCTTCTCAGATGTGCCGAAATCCCCGAGAAGAATAGTGCTATCCAATCACCATGCAGCCAATGTGGCAAATGTTTCCGAAACGATTCGCATATGTACTACGAATGTCCACTTTGTTCTTTTTTCCTCTACCGTTGTTCCTTCTCGAAAAAATAAAATTTGTAGAAACTGAAATTTGATGAAAATCTGTTTGGAGATTTTCAAATCCGAATTGTAATAGTTTTGTGGTTCATTGGCTGGGTTATTTTCTTAATTTTAATTTTAATTTTAATTTTTGGTTGTTGATGATCCAATTATCAAGAGAGGAATGAAATAATGTCCGGTTACAAAATGAAGTGAATTTAGTTCAAATTCAATAATGTAATTTTTAGAGTTGATTGAGATTGCAAAATCACACACTCAAGTCATCACAGTAAGGATAAATTTAGTCTTAGTAAACTATTAAAAGTTAATCAATAAATATATTTTTTTTGTGACTGTTTTCTACATATATCGTTAAAATTAACAATTAGTGACTTTTTTGTCACGATGTTTATAAATTATTACTAAAATTTAAAATTACTAACATTTTTTGTAACAAATTTTTTAAACTGTCGTTGAAATTTGAAAATTAATGACATTTTTTGTGACGATTTTTTTAAATTGTCACTAAAACTTGTAATTAAGTGAGGTTTTTGTGACAAATCTCTCAAACTATAGTTGAAAATTAATAATTATTGACATTTTTAATAATGATTAATGAAAAATATCGTTAATAATTATAGAACCAATTAGACAATAAGTAACAAAGGAGAACCACCATGGAAGACATTCAACTGACTGATGAAACATTGGTCACTTTCAATGAAACGAGACTATTGACATCAATACTAGGACAATTGTCATTTGAATCGCCGTACTTTGTGATCCATCAATGTATCAAATTCAAAACCTAGACTTCTAATTCTGTTCTCACTCAACAACCCAAATGAACCACCGTCGAACACATTATGCAGCTGAACCATAATGAAAGCTAAACCATCCCCACTCTCCGGAGACATCGAAAACCTTAAACAAGTCCAAAAAGACACCTTTTTCCGGGATTTCCTTCGACTAGCTTAATGACTCGCCCGGAGCTTAAACTAAAAAATCCAGTTAACTTGTTCGGACGAGTTGGCATCGTCGTAGAGAGCGAGTGTAGACTCAAAGTTCAGTCTTTATCGAAGTTTTAAGTGAAGTTTGAATTTGGGTCCGATGGTATGAGTTTGAAGATGGAAAAATTATGACAAATTGTAAATTAGTGGGACAGTATAAAAAAAATACTATAAATCATTGTTTTAATTTATGAAAAAATATAGGAAACACTTGCACCAATGATATAAAAACAAAAATATCATTTATGAAAAAAAAAATATCATTATAACTGTGATACCAAGTTATTATGCATACCTGGTATTATTAACCAATAATATGTTATCATCATCTATTCACTATGTATAGATTTCAACCTGCTATAATGACATGAAGGGTGTGTTTGTTTTGAAGGATTAGGGTGTGGATTGGACTATTAGTCCCACCGGATTAATAGTTCATTATTTGTTTTAATTTTTTTGCTCCGGACTATTAGTCTCATATTTATAGGACTATCCTATCCCATGGGGGATGAGATTATTTTCATGAGATTGGTATCCCATGAGATTAGGTTCTAAAATGTCCATTTTATCCCCATGCTATTACTTAGCAAACAATTAGAAAAGGTTAAAATAGTCTTTTGAACATTTATAAATTATTTTTTTAGTGTTGTTAATTTAAAATTATATATTAAATAAAAAATTTAAATTATAAATTTAATTTAATTAAAAATAATAAATAATAAATTATGGCCTTATAAATTAAATTTTTTTAGTGTTGTTAAAAAATTAAATTTACATATTAAATAAAATTATTTTTTTATTGTCGTTAATTTAAAATTATATATTAAATAAAAATATAAATTATAAATTATAAACTTAATTTAACTGAAAATAATAAATTAAACATTATGGCCTTATAAATTAATTTTTTTTAGTGTTGTTAAATTATAAATTATAAATTATAGATTACAAATTTAAAAGTATATATTAAATAAAAATTATAAATTACAAGGGTAAAATAGTCTTTTGAACATTTATCCTTATCTAGTCCGTCTAACCAAACATTGGATTCGCTAAAAATAGGCAAATCCAGACATCTAATCTCATGACTAAACAAACATAGGATACAAATCCACTACAAGAAAAAACACTTTTGGCGACCATCTATTTTTTTTGGTCGCAAATAGTCCACTTTCTGCAACTAAAATTTAACTTTAGGTGACCACAATTTTTTGGTCGCGGAAAATCACCTTTTGGGGACCAAAAAAAAAAGTTGGTCGCGGAAAGTGTATTATTGGCGACCAAAAGCTTTTTTAGTCGCGGAAGATCACCTTTTGGCGACCAAAAAAAAAATTGGTCATGGAAAGTATACCCTTTGGCGACCAAAAAAAAAAGTTAGTCGCGGAAAGTATACTATTGGCGACCAAAGGCTTTTTTGGTCGCGGAAGATTACCCTTTGGCGACCAAAAAAAAAGTTGGTCGCGGAAAGTATGCTATTGGCGACCAAAGGCTTTTTTGGTCGTGGAAAATCACCTTTTGGCGACCAAAAAAAAAAATTGGTCGCAGAAAGTATACTATTGGCGACCAGAGTTTTTTTTGTCGTGGAAGATTACCCTTTGGCGACCAAAAAAAAAGTTGGTCGCGGAAAGTTATGGCGAGATAAATTTTTAAAAAAAATGATACTACAGTAATTACATGCTATTTTTCTATTTAGGCATTAAAAGTTTTATAAAATAATATATAACCCAATTTTTATGGGTTATATATTTTTTTTGCCAAATATGAACAAGAAGTATGTTATTGGCAGAGTGGTAGAGTGGATTGGGTGCATGGTGACTCCTTGGTCAGGAGTTCAAGTCCCAAGGAGCACAAAAGAATCAATTTTTTTTGGGTCAAGGCGCTGACTTTTGGTGACCAACTTATCTTTGGTTGCTAAAAGTTTACGTTTGGCTAATATGAATTGGACTTTCCGTGACCAAAAAAATTGGTCGCGAATGGTCACTTTTAGCGACCAAAGGCTTTTTTGGTCGCAGAAAACTATCTGTGACGAGACTTTAGCGACTAACTCACGACCAACATATTTTGGTCGCGAAAAGGTTTTAGCGACCAAATATGGTACTTTTTGCGACCAAAATGTTGGTCACGGAAAGTGTTTTTTCTTGTAGTGATCTAATCCAACCAAATAGTCTGGGGACCATGTATCCCGGGACTAACAATCCGATGGATTACAATCCCCCCTTATCCAATCCGTCAAAACAAACACACTCGAAAATTACATAGAAGTTACAATAATGACATCGATGAGTGATTACAATTAATCGGCAGAGTTCAGTTAATTATGTGTTATAATTGGTTAGTAATACCACGCGTGCATGATGATATGTTAGATTCAAATTTTAAATTTTCTATTATGATTATTTTATAATGATGGGCCAGAGTTGATATGGTCTTGGTTAGGTAATATAGTAACTTCACCCAAAGATTAATATAATTAGATAGGAGACAATTTTGTTTATATAATATAGATTTTTATAATTTTTTGAGAGATAAATTTGTATGCTATTAAAGTCTAAAGAAATCTGTAATTTATCAACATAGCCATAATTTAATTGTAGGAAAATATTTGGGACCCTTTTTGGAGATGACTCCTACACTCCCAAAGTGATTCTGGCTCTCCATGTATGTGTGAGACCGACTCATATATGTGTGGGGTCCACATCTTGAGTGGTCCAGATATGTAGAGTCTTGTAAGAGGGTGGGGTCTCAATCATTGCTTTTAAGTCATGTTTGTTTGGCTCCATAGGTGGAGGGATTGGACTATCAATCTTATGGGTTCTACATAGCCCATGTTTGGTTAACAAAAATATAAGGGAACTAATAATCTCATAGGACTATGAATACCCTCACATAGGGGAATAAACTTGGTTAGATTTTTGGTGGTATTAAAAAAATAGTGAGGGGATTAAGTCTATTTTATATAAAAAAAAAAAAAAAATTTAAACCAAATGCACCTGTTTGTTTTAATATTTGTTCTAATTTTTTTAATATAGAAATAATTTATTTATTTATTTTATATAAAAATAATTTAACAATCCTGTGCGGGGAGCAAATATTCAGGCAAGCCCGCACTCCTTTCTTCCAAGCTCCTATCTGTCCGATCGACCTGCGAGCACAACGGCGGTGAGCTACCCGGCGGTGTGTGGTCGAAAAACCCCTCCGATGATCAAGTTAGACACACACATAGGGATAGAGAGAAAGAGTGGGCTGAGTTGTGTTTAGTGTTTATCTCACCAAAACATCATCTGTCTAGTATGGGGGGCGCAGACTCGTTTATATACCTTTTGTGCCCCAAATCTACTCCCATTAGTCTCTCAACACGTGGTGCTACTATCCCATCTGTCAGCACAAATCTTGCTGAACATCACCTAATCCAACTGCCAGCCCACTCTATTGGGAGCTCGGTAGCCGGATTGCAGCATCTCGGCTGCCAACGGCCATGCTGCACTTCAAGCCCAAGTGTTCCAATAACCAAGCTCATTGAGGACCGAGCTCGATTGCATCCCGACATAGCCGAGCTTGGGACAATTCATACTAGCTTGCCATTGGCCTTCCGGCCGAGCTAACTCATGAACCGTGGAACCTCCACGCCTTGCCTGGCCCCGGTTATCCCACTTGACTGGCTTCTACACCATGGAGCCACGTAGCTTGGTCCGACCACGCCTGGCCTGGCGCCGGACATCTCGCTTGACCGGCTTCTATACCATGAAGCCAGATAGCTCGGTCGGACCACGCCTTGCCTTAACCGAGCAAAACCTTTCAGGATAGGCCCGTTTCACCGCGGCCCAAACTTGTTTGGCCCAGATCTGCCCGGCCATTTCCACGGTCCAAACCAGACCATAAATCTCCCTATCAATTGCCCCTTAATTCCGTCCGCCAAAGCGTGACTGGGATTACCTGTTATGATAGGGGTAAACACTTCCTCGGTTCTTAGTTTTGCAAGAAGTCGACCAGGCTAATTTCTGTGCATGGTTCCTTGTCTTGCTCGGTCGACGCCTCGTCTGATCTTCCT